GAGATCCGGGCCCTGCGGGACCTTGCACAGTTCCGCAGGGCCTGCAAGACGGAGCTCTTCCGCCAGGTGTTTGAGTAGGAGCCGCCACGACTGTTACCATCTGTCTATGACTATTACTATCTGTCCTAGCCCTTATTACCAACTTGCCGTGAGCACAAAAATGGTGGTACTGCGTGGAGCTGTGGCCACTAAGGATACCATCCTGATGACGTCATCTGTTTCCTTGTTAGTTGTTGTGGAGAGCACTTATGTTGTACTGAATGTTTTTAAAATGCAGCTTTAATGTTTTATGTATTGGGCATTGGCCCCATCTGTACGCCGCCCTGAGCCCGTTCGCGGGGAGGGCGGGTTATAAATTTAATTAATTAAATAAATAAATAAATAACAAAGTCCTAAACTACATATTTATACAGCAAAGTAGGCTAAGAGGAAAAAGCTAAAAGCCTGAGACGAGGCTGCTCAGCAAACGACCTATCTTCTAGAACCTTAAGAAGAAGAAGTTCAAGCTCATTGGCCAACCCAAACACTGGGAAATTAAAACCATCCAATCAGTTTCTCAAGCACACCAATTGACATACAGGATTGGCTCTGAGCCAGGTTGCACTTCGAGGGCAGGTCTCTGATAGAATCATAACAAATACGTTACCCCTGTAATGACTGAATTTTAGATCTTTGCCATATACCAACAATTAGGACCACCTGGCTGTTGAGCGGGAGAAAGTATAGTACAGATACAGACCAGAGGGAAGTCGTGCTAACTTTATGCTCATGCCAGGCTAGTGCGTTTTGATATTTTCTTGCTTCATCACGATTAATAGTTTTATGTAGAGTAACTTAGGCTACAGCTGGAAGACTTATGCTGCAACAAGAGGTGCCGTCTCACACCAAGAACTTCATGTATTAGATAGAACAGTTTGCTTTTCTTGTTTTTCTGTTGCTTGACCTGCCGAGACTGTTTCTGTTTAGTGAAGTCTTGTTTTTATATCCTTAAGAAACCTTTATAATATATTTAAAAGGGGCCTGCTTTACTTGTGTGCACTCTCCTCATGAACCCACTGAACTGAGTGCTGCTCAGGTACAAAGACTAGTGACCCAGGGGGACTCACGCTTGAGTTCCTGACAGGCAGGGGTCATTTCCTGCAGGAGCGCACAGGAGCGGAGCTCCGGCAGTAAAGAGCCCAGGGGGAGGGCACACGCAACAAGCCCCGCCCCCTGCTCCCAGCAGCCCTCAGTCAGAGCAAGAAGCAGCCAGGTAAGTTGCAGAGCCCCCCCCCGGCCCCCCGGTCCAAAACACCTTTAAGACCAAGTTTTATTCAGGTACAAGCTCTCCCTCCTCTGTGAGGGCAGATCTGCACGTTCCCCCTCCCCAATAGCTAGCAATCCAAAACAGTCCAGTGGAGCCTGAGCGGTGGGTGTCGCCTCCTGACACACTTCCGGTGATGTCAGGGGTGTGGCATATGCAAATAAGTTATGCTAATGAGCTATGCTAATGAGCTTCTGCACCTCTTTTTCTACGAAATAACCCCTGCTGACAGGATCATTTCCAGATCACAGGAAGAACTGATGTTTCTAATCCCATCTGGGGGAACGGTGTGTGGGAAAGGTTTGTAACACAGAAATGCGGATCTGGCCCCTTCCAGAGTCTTTCTGAGGGTCTCTCATCCCCACCTTTGCCTCAGGCCAGGACACCTCCTCTGGCTTGGGTGATGATGGCCACAGCTTTGGCCGTAGCTGCCCCTGGGCAAGTAGTGGAACAGACGTCAAAACAATGTGTTGCTATTCAAGATTTTGATTCACGGCTCATCCCAATGGCAGCAATTCACACCTTTGGCACCCATGGAAGCTCCTTACCCAGAGAGGCCAAGGTCCCGTAGTTCTCCAGCATGACTTCCCGGTAGAGAGCTCTCTGGGCCGGATCCAGCAGGGCCCACTCCGCCTCAGTGAAATACACGGCCACCTCCTCAAAGGAGAAGGGACCCTGAAAGAAAAAGCAGATTTCCTCGTCAGAGATCACGTCAAGTCAAGCAGAGACGGCACCCTGGAAGGGAGTCGTCTGGGAGGGGACAGGATGTCAGGCTTGGGATGGGGAGGCGTTCAGAGCCTCTCTCGCCCAGACACCTTGTAGAGACTGCACGAGAAAAAGCCCCCCCCCCAAGAAAGGAGGGGGGACCCAGGTCGTCCCCTGCTCATCTCCCCTACCTGGACTGGAGGTAAAGCAGCCATTTCCACACCTCCGAAAGGATGATGGCTCAACAGCATCTCTCGACTGCCTGTTAGGAAGAGAAAGGAGGAAGGAAGGGTGTTTGTCGTGACTTCCTGTTCCATTTGCTTGTTTGTCCCCTGCTCCACGCACCCCCTCCCCAGGAGTTTGACACCTCGCCCTGTGTCTGCTCAACACGTTCTTTCATACTTTTTACTAAATTCTGGGAGAGGCAGAAGAGAAGCACCAGGTACTGTAAGCATGCAAATCCCTGCATCTCTCAGTCAGGGGTCATTTTGTAGAAAAAGAGGTGCAGGAGCTCATTAGCATAACTCATTTGCATATGCCACACCCCCTGACATCACCGGAAGTGTGTCAGGAGGCAACACCCACTGCTCAGGCTCCATTGGACTGTTTTGGATTGCTAGCCTTTTGGGGGGGGGGGAAACGTGCAGATCTGTCCTCGCAGAGGAGGGAGAGCTTGTACCTGAATAAAACCTGGTCTTAAAGGTGCCACTGGACTGTTTTGGACCGGAGGGCCGGGAGGGGGAGCTCTGCAACTTACCTGGCTGCTTCTTGCTTTGACTGAGGGCTGCTGGGAGCAGGGGGTGGAGCTTGTTGCATGTGCCCGCCCCCTGGGCTCTTTACTGCCGGAGCTCCGCTCCTGTGCACTCCTGCAGGAAATGACCCCTGCTCAGGAGAGGTCATTTCAACCAGCAATGGACCGCACTGGGGTGCCGCAAGAGCCTGTATACCAGGCATCTTGACATAAGCAGACACAAAGATGGACGCCAGAACTGGGAGGCTCTATAATGAGGCCGAGGCAGCGACCATGGGAAGCACATGAGATCTCGTTTTGACAGCTGCAACCCACCCACCCCGCCCTCCCGACATCTGCATATTCCGGACAGTGGACTTGCCTCACCTCAGAGCCCCTGATTTTCAGCTTTAGTCCCTAATCGTATCAATCTTGCCTCATCCTTCCTCCCCACATTTCCTTTATAATGAAAACTCCTACTCCTTCTCCAAATCCCAAAACCAGGAGGGGCTCATCAAGCGGTATTGTTTCCGTTCCGATCACTTTAAATTAGCAATCCATTAGCCACAGCCCGCCACCCCTACGCCAGCATTCCTGTTTCCCACAGCAGCCTGCCATTTCCCCCAATAACCACGGGCCAACTTTTTCCATTACGATTGGGCCC